AACACTCAAAAATATGTCTACGCTTGTGTTCACCGCAGCACTATTTCTAGTAGTCAATATCTAGAACCAACCCAGATGTCCAACAAAATAAAAAGTGCCTAAAGAAGCTGTGGTGTATGCTTCGAGCACTGCTCTGCCCAGGAAAAGGAACTCTAGTAGTTTGCTACAATTTGGATGGACCAAGAGAAGTGAATGGGGAGGAGAAGGAATGCTGGATGCTCTTACCTGTGTGTGACAGAGAAAGAAACAAAGTAAGAAACCGAGTAGAGCCAGGAGGAACAAGTCCTGGGATTCTGCTAACAACCTAGCTGGGTGTGGAGGCGCCTAAGGAGGGACCTGGCCACTGGTGGAAGGATGGTATGTAGGGACACAGTATGCCTAAGGGCATTCATGTGGCCACTGATGAAAGTCATGGTATCACTGTATCACTGTCATCTCATTATTTATCTGTTTGCTTGAGCGGGCACCAGTAACATCTGCATTTGTACTAGCCCTGAGATTTTAACAGCCTCTCCTTACTCGTCCTTCCCAGCGGTGCCGCATTGGAGGCTCTTTCAGGGTCAGGGAAATGAGACACATCATTGTTACTGTTTTTGGCATATCGAATATACCATGGGAGCTTTCCAGGCCCTGCCATGCGGGCAGGATACTCTCAATAGCTTGCCAAGTTCTCTGAGAAGGAGACTAGACTATAAGAGGTCGCGGGGCCTCACATGTGGCCGCGTGCTTCCAGAAGCTTTGTTTTATAGTAACTGGATCTTAGCCGTTGATGGAATTTCATGGCGCTGGGTGCAGTTTGTGGGTGTAACTGCCTAGCTACTGCAAAATGGGGGATCTTGGTGGAGGAGACCCAGTCCCGATCCGAGCAGGCTTGGAGATCTCAGCCACAGGTACTGTGCATCTGGCTTCCTCTGCCGGTTCCTTCATGCATGAAGCTCATGTGAGCATGTGGAGAGTGGTCTCGAGCCTGGCCGTGGTCCTGGGCTGCCGGGGCTCTGCTCGGGGCTGGAGGAAGACTCAACCCGTCCCCCTCCGAGGGACTTCCGGGAGGACAGCCAGGCGCGGGGGAGGAGACTCTCTTCCAGGAGCTTTGTTTTATAGTCTCTGGATCTTGGCCGTCACGGTACCTTGAGAAAAAGGAAAAGAAAGAATTACATTGCATGGAAGAATCTGTTTACTTTTGGACTTATCCAGTATCTTTTCAATTGTTTGCATGACATTAGCATGTAATTAGCTCCACAAGGGAAAATTGCTTCCCTGTGATTCTGAGACCCTTCAACCCTCAGCTGGACTTCTGAGGGCCAGGAGCCTGAGCTGCTCACTCTTCCTTTCCTTCAGCTCTGTGATGGAACACTGGCTTCTACATTCTGTTGAGGTGGTGAAAAATAGTGAACCCGGAAGGCTGCAAGCTTGATGAATAACGTCTGTTTCCTGGACACACCTCCCCGGAGCTGGATGAAGTGACTGCTACCCTGCGGAGAACTGGGACCTGCTCCTTAATGAGGGAGGTGGTCTGTGGCTTTTCTTGTCTCTACCAAGAGCAATTTCCTGCCCTCCTGGGCCCACCCACAAGGCTGCTGAGACAGCAGCATGGAGCCGGAGCAGTGAGTGCCGCGTGCCTCCCTGGGCAGCAGAATGGGCCTCCTAGGTCAAGTCTCCCCGGACAAAACAGAAATAAATCACCAGCCTCTGCCTAAGATCTGATGAAATCCTCCCTTTCCATTCCAAATTGAATTCCACCCGTGGGATCAGGGTGGCTCCCGAGGCTAATGAGGGCGCTCCTTCCTCCCTGCGGGAAATGTGTTCTAAATGAACAGCCTGGGCGGGGAGGTCAGTCTGGGAGCGGGCCAGCAGTGATCGTTTCCATCTTCCGCGGAGGGGAGCCCACGAACGAGAGCAAGTGGCCTCCGTGGGCTGCAGCCCTGCTGGGGTCTCTGGCACAGAGGGTCCTGCTGTCACTTACCATTGCCCCCTGCTCCCCCCATCCCTCCCCTTGGCCATTAATAGTGGCAGAGAATTTAAGATGGAGAGAGAACACAGAGGACTTGTGCCTTTTGAGAGTTGAAGATATTACTTCTCCGCCTATAGCTTTATTAGGGAAAAGGATCAACTGGAATTTGCAAAAAGAAGAAGCTCTTTTAGAATGCCGATGTCCTTGGAGTGGTTTTCTTCCACCCACAGTAATGATGATGAATCGACACTCTGGCATCTGTGAAAGCAGTCCACAGAGGTCCTTTCAGGGGAGAAAAAGAAAACTAAACCCTGTTTTCAAATGGGTCTTGTCAGCAGGGAGACTGATGAGCTGTTGGCTGACTGAGACCACGAACAAGACTCTGAGAATACAGAGTGTGTGCCGAGCCTAGGAAACGGAAATCGGGGTTCAGGGGAGTAGCAGAAAATCCTAAATACTCATTATGTGTAGACAGTGGGCCCAAAGTAGACCGTGTTGGAGCTCTTAGGATTCCTCCTTGAGTTTGAAATCGTTATGCTCTGCTTCCCTTACTGTTGAAAAGTAGTTTAACCCCTACTTCCAGTGGGCCCTGGAGCCTATGCCCCCAAATCCCACTTGTCATGAGAAATCTGCTATTTAAGGTGATGAGGAGAAAGTCCTTGAGAGAAAATTGTTTGGGCCTTTCATGACATGTCTTAATTTTTAATATTTTTTTAAGAAAGAATCCATTTCTTTCATAGGGAGATGGGGCCCCAAAGGGACCCTGTGGTAAAATTCAACTTTAGGGAGCAAACTGGACAACAGGGAGTTTGAAGTCTGGTTCTCAACTGGAAAATTGCTTTTCAGGAGGATGGCCAAACCAGCTATGTCCAGGGAAGTGTTCTCCTTCCCAGGCAGGGAGATGTCTATGATGCTTGTATTTCTTGATTTCTCCTTACCTGCCAAGTGGGACTTTCTGTGAGTTTTCTGCAGTGCCAGGGTCTGTCCTGAGCCCAGCCAGACACTGCAAGGCCAGGATGGTTGTCTCCAGAGTACTTACAGTTGAGGAAGGTGGGGATGGTGACAAGAACTACTCAGGCCAGCTAGGGTCAGGAGTATGTGGTAATGGTGACAAAAATGAGGGCAGGGGCTGGAGTCAGATAGTGGTGAAGGGGCAGGATGGCTGCAGAGATAGTACAGATGTTACAGATATTACAGCACTTGCTTGCATGTGGCTGGCTGGGTTCAGCTCTGGGAACCACCACATAAGGTCCCCCAAGCCCTGCCAGAAGCCGTTGGGAGCAGCCAGGTGTGGCCTAAAACCAAAACCAAACAGAGAAGATGAAAGGGCCAGGAAGCCCAGTGCCACCAACACTGCTGCTTTTGTTGTACCCTTTAGGCCCCAGACTTGGGTATTTGCATGAAGAGCCTGGCTTAGCTTCCACACGGGTTCAAAAGAGCCAGTGGGCCCTGGACAGTGCTTCTGCCCGCAGCAGCCTGGGTCAGTTTTCAGCTCTGTGACTGCCCACACCTTCCCGGTCTGGCTGAGAGACCCTCACATGCCTGTCCTTGAGTCTGTTTACAAGGCCTGAAGTGACTTTTGTTTTGTTTTAGCAAAAAGGTGAAGGGCTGCCAACAGTATGTCTGGAATGTTATTTACTCGTTGCATTTCTGTGGTGTTTCTTGTAGAGCTGGGCATGCCGGGGCAGGGGGTTGTTTACTTGAAAATTCCAGGTTGTGCAGTGCATAGTCTTCACAGCAGGACGTTCTCAGGAAGCGCAAATGAAGCACCTCCACCTTCTGTTTCCCTCTCCCTCCCCCCACCGCTCCTTCCTTCCTTCTTTCTTTTCTTTCATCCTTTCCCTGCCCTTCCCTCCCCTCCCATCCACTTCCCTCCTTTCCGCACCCCCCCCCCCCCCCCCCCCCCCGCATTGCCCCTGCCCTTGCTCCCCCCACTCAGTGCTCTGAGCCTCTGGGTGCCTCTGCTGCCCCCTGCAGGCCGGCTGTGCTGTTGTTTCCCCGGCTTCCTGGCCTGCCGCTGCTCCTGCCCTGTTAATATCTCGCTTGAAAGCTTTCTCTCCATGCCACTTCCTGTTTCAGCCAGCTCTGAGCTGCAGCAGGAGGTCGTGCAGGCAGCTGGGTGGGATCTTCTCCCCTGCTGGCCGTGGGGGTGGAGGACCAATCCACAAGCGTCCTGGCTTATACAGAGCCAGCCCGATGACAAACAAATGGCATTTGAAGAAAGAAACCAAGATGTACGTTTCTTAATTTAGAAAGTTTCACGAGCGTTTCTGTTCAGTTGATGAGCTTTTTTATTCTTTTAAAGAGCAGCTTAGGGAGACTTGTGAGCAGTTCCTGACTCGAGCAGGGCAGGCGCTGGAGATACCGTCTTCGCTCTTCTCTGCAGTCTCCCCCTTCCTCCCATGTGCCTTTCCAGTGCAGATGGGATTAAAGGCAGGGGCAAGGGGTTAAACAAGGTGTGGAGGGTGAGGCTGGACAGCACCCCCCACCCCCAGGCTGGTGCCAGCCGGAATGGTTTGCTTGTTTGGGGCGGGGGGAGGGGGGGGGGGTGACTCCTCTCCTGCCCTCTCACTTCTGAGTCGCGCTTTCATGGTCACACGTGCAGCTCAGGTGGCCCCGTGGAGAGTCCGGGCCTGTTCTCCTTGGTGTGGCCTGGCCTTCTGCGTGACTTCTCCATGTGTCTGTGAGCTGCTTGGGTTTGGGGCAGAAGAGGCATCTTTGATCTCTCCCTTGACAGCCTGGGTTCCCATGCTCGCACCTGTTCTTTCCCTGTCCAGATTGCCCAGTAAATGCTTCCATGGCCTTGTAATTCTTCTTGGCGCAAAGTCTCGGTTCAGGCCCCTTATTACGGGAAAGAGCGGTGTGACGACAGAGACAACTGTGCGGCAGGAAGGGGCTGACTGCCAGCAGTGGCAACAGCCATGTTGTCTGTTCCCAGCAGCTCTGGGGCGCCAGCCGTGTTCATGCTCTAGCACGCACACGCTAATGACAGGCTTGCAGGCGCGGGCAGGCCCTGACATGACTCCGGTGTTTCTCCCCTTCTCTGCAGCCCACACATCATCTTCCTCTCCCAAAGCACCTTGACTGGAGTCAGCCTCTGCGGGACACGCCTCTGCCACGAAATTGCCCACGCCTGGTTTGGCCTGGCCATCGGGGCCCGCGACTGGACTGAGGAGTGGCTGAGCGAGGGGTTCGCCACCCATCTGGAAGACGTGTTCTGGGCCCGAGCGCAGCAGGTGGGTCCAGGGAGCACCCTCAGCCCTGTTCCCACTCCTGATCCAGCCCCCCGCAAAGCCATGCGTTCACCCAGCCTGGTTCCCGAGGAAGAGCGAGCCCATTCAGGCGCCGGAGTGTGGCGCAGAGATCAGGGCTCTTGCCCTGTGGCACAGACCTAGTTCTGGCCTGGGTACTACATATGGTTCTCGGAACCTGGCCAGGAGTGACCCCTGAGAGCAGAGCCAGGAGGAGGGCTTGAGCACCACAGGTGTGACCCCAGAAAGAAACAAAAACAATAGCCACTTGGGGCCCTGAGAGAAAGTTCACTGGGCTAGGCTGGGTGCAGTCCTCAGAAATGCCTGGTACCCCGAGAACTGAGCACGAGCAACTCCACAAAACAATGTGTGGCTTTGAGGGGCTCCTGACACCATTGGGTGTGACCAAAACCCAAGAAAGGACTTTAAAGCTAGAAATGGGGGCTACCCGCCCGCTCCTCTCTGGAAAGAAAGATGGCGGCCGCACGGGAGCCTTGTGGAAAGCGGGTTTGAGCCGGGCTCGGGGAAGCGGCGGGGACCTCATGGGAAGGGGGGCTTTGTGGGCCGTCCCCCACGCCCCACTGAGGTCGCCAGCTGCCCCCCACGAGCGGCTCTCCGGCACGGCCACGGCCCCGGAGGCACAAGGACTTAGCACAGAGAACCAGCCGCTTGGAGCAGAAAAGCAAATGGACTTGTGTTGATCCGCGCCACCAAGCCTGCCCGGAGGGGGAAGGGCGTTGACCGGCCCGCCCGCTCCTCTCTGGAAAGAAAGATGGCGGCCGCACGGGAGCCTTGTGGAAAGCGGGTTTGAGCCGGGCTCGGGGAAGCGGCGGGGACCTCATGGGAAGGGGGGCTTTGTGGGCCGTCCCCCACGCCCCACCGAGGTCGCCAGCTGCCCCCCACGAGCGGCTCTCCGGCACGGCCACGACTCCAGGGCACAGAAATCAATCTCTTAACTAGCTAACTTTTAATAGAAATTCTTCCAGGGTCAATAAGTAAAATAGCAGAAATTCAAAACCGCGCGGCCGCGACATCATTTTATTCTTAAACCAAGTTGTAGAAAGCAAATCATTTCACAACGCTGTTTCAGCATGTCTGATTGGGGGGTGGGGTGGGTCGTAAACTCTAAACAATAATTGTGCATCTTCTATCGAAATAATCTATCTAGTCAAAGTAGATAGAGTATTAACTAGAACTCATCTGCCTCATAAGAATTGGGAGGGGTGGGAGGTGGGGGTCTATTGGGGTTCGGGGTTAAAAATGAGTATTGGTAAAGGGAAATGTGTTCGGTATCTACATGACTGAGACCTAAACCCGAAAGCTCTGTAACTTTTCCCACAGTGATTCAATAAATAAAAAAAAATTTAAAAAAAAAAAAAAAAAAAAAAAGAAATGGGGGCTGGAGAGACAGTACAGCAGGTAGGACACTTGCCTTGCATATGGAAGACACAGTTTGTTCCTCTGCAGTTTACATGGTTTCCTGGGCCCCACCAGGAGTGAGCCCTAAGCACAGAGCCTCCCGCGTGTTGCCCTAAACCCCCAAACAGGAAGAAACCAAAGAAAAGGATGAAACACCTAGAGAGCCGAAGAGTGTTTGGGAAGGTCTGAGGAAAGTGTCTCTGGACAGACTGTTAGGGAAACTCCAGCCTCCCTGCCACTGCTGATGTGGAGACTGGCTGTGGGTGTGTCTGAATACTGAGAGGAAAACACTCGGCAGCCTCCATCTGAGTGCTGACAGCGGTGTGTGAGTGACACTATCTGTGTCCAGTCCCAGCCGGGGGAGTGCGGCCTGCCCTGAGTGCTGCCGGAGGCTCCTTGGAGCCGGGCCCCTGACTTTGCTCAGAGGGTCACAAATCTGGGTTTTTATTACATTGGCTAATTTAAAGATGTCATGTAAACCAAACGTACCTGGAAGCCAGGCCTGGTCAGCTCACAGTTTACAGCTTCTTCTTGAAAGAGCTGACCGCCAAATCTAATGAGGAAATGGCAGGCAAATGACTTCCGAGTTCTATTTCCAGTTTCTTGCATTTTATTGCTTTGGCCACTACCATCCTCATTCCTTTCACACTGGATTATTTGACATTTTCTGATTTTTTGAAGTTCCCAAGTTGGAGCATACCTGGGAATACATGGGTATGATTTTGTTCAGAATCCTTTGCATGTTGAAATTCTATTTATTTATTTATGAGCCAGCTGGAGGTCATCTTCTCTGGATGTAATTCAGTACTGGTCTCATGGCAGCTTTACATTCTTGAAGCTGGAGAGATGAGACAGTGGGCAAGGCACTTGACTTGTACACAGGTCGCTCTGGTTTGATCCCCGGCATCACATAGGGCTCCTGAGTCCCACCAGGAGTGATCCCTGAGTGCAGAGCCCGGAGTCAGCCCTGAGCACAGCTGGGTGTGGCCCTTCCACCTCAAGAACACCCCATAGTGCTTGGTACTAACATTTCTTCTTCCTCCTTTCCGTCTTCCTCCTCACAACTGGACCCTAAACTCACAGTGGAACTGTGAGCGCCGTGTGGCCCCAGCCCCTTCCACGCATGGCTGTAGAACCAATCTGATCATGTCTGAACCTCTGCCCTGCACAGTTTGGGAGATAGAACCCGAGACCGACTCAGAAGCAGTGACTGAGCAGGGTGGAGTCACAGTCGGCCTTTTGAGCAAGAGTAGGTTAAGAACATTCCCAGAATCTCTGCTGCCTCATCTGTAAAATAGGTTTCTGAATGCTTCATTTTGCAGGGGGCGGCCGGAAGGCACATGGAATAATGTGCAAATGAGATGGGTGCAGTGGCTCATATGGGATGAACACAAGGACAAGCACAGGTTCTCTTTTTTCCTCCTTGTATTCACTGCCCCGTGCCCGAGGCTGGCCTCTAGCAAGGCTAAGAGGACTCAGGGGAGTGTGTGTCATCACCTGCCCCAGGAAACTCCGTGGAGACATCAGATCCCAGGGCTGTTCCGGTCCTGACCATCTCTCTGCTCTTTCTCTCCTGCAACCCCCAAGGGGACTCCTCGTTGCCTGGACTCTCAGGTGGTCACGCCTGAACTTCTCTGCAGGGTGGGTCCTGCCTCTCACTTCTCCACCAGTGCAGGGACAAAGCTGGCCTGGCTGCACGCCACAGCCTTGTGCCTCTGCTGGGTCTGTGGCAACAACAGAACGAGTGAAACACGGCTCCCTGCTGAGAGAGGCCAGGGTCTCACTGTGAGGAGTAGGGAAGTGCACAGTGGAAGAAGGACAGAGTGACATTAGAAACATGCACTGGATGTGGGGGAGCTCAGGGGTGGAAGGGAGTAGGTCTGAGCAGACTTGGAAACTTTTTTGTAGGAGGCAACTTCCTGGTGTGAGAGCTGAGATATCCTTCGTTGGTTGGTTTGTCTCTGTTTTACAGACCACACCCGGCCATGCTCCAGATTACTCTTGGCTCTGCACTCAGGGGTCACTCCTCGTGGAGTGGAGGGACTCTCTGAATACCAGGGCTGTGCTGTCACTCCAGCCCCACAGAGCTGAGAGCCCTCTCCTTTCTCCTTTCCCTTCTACCTAGTAAGGGGACAGCCCAGCATCCTGTCACTCAGGGTGCCGCAGCTCTTCATCTTGGGAGTTCATAGACAGCCCTGAGGCAAAGTAGCCAAAGGACAGGGTTAGGAAACTTTCCAGAGCTCATCCTGAACTCAGGCCCCGCCCAGGAGGGCCCTCCCCGGCTGCTCAGCGCTGGCCCCCAGGGCTCCCGCAATGAGGGAAGAGTGCATGAATGCACATTTGTCACTGACTGAAACTGGTGCTGAGGAGGTCAGTCGGCAGCCCCAGATATTAGCAAGCAGGGCAAAAGGGAGAAGTGGGAATTCATTGACAGGGGAGCTCTAACCCAGCATCACATGCTGAAGGCCACCGCTTAGGGAGGAGGGAACCAAATGAGTCGCAAATCTGAGTGTCATCAACGTAGATGGAGTCTAAATTCTTTAGACTTTGGGGTTTGTCTTGAGCTGCCATAACAAGGTGCTCCAACCAGAAAGACTTAAGCAGCAGAGAGTTGGGTTGAGTTTGGAGCTTGGGCTTTTATTTTAATTTTTTGGTTGGTTGATTGGTTGGTTTTGGGTTGTTTCGTTTTGCTTTTGAAGCACACCCAGCCACTGGTGCTCAGGGCTTACTCTTGGCTCCGTGCTCAGGGGTCACTTCTGACCTGTTTGGAGAGACCTTATGGGATGCCAGGAGTCCACCTCGGGCTGGCCGTGTGCGAGGCAGGCTCCCTGCCGCTGTCCATTGCTCCAGCCCCAAGTTTGCACTTGGTTCTGGAGGCTGAAATCCCAGGAATTCAAGTCTCCTCCCTCCCCGCCTCTCCCCCTCCACCCTCGTGTCCTCTGGCCTTCCGGCTGCCTCCCTGCCTCACCTCTCTGCCTGGGCTGGGAGACTCAGCGAGGCTGCAGAGTGGACCCTGGGCTCCCCTGCTCTGCAGCCCAGCAGTGAAGCCCACGGAACATGTGTGTTCAGAGCAGCTTGGACAGAGCACTGGAGCAGGAGCGGCCCCCAGGAGGGATCCAGCTGTCACTCCTACTGGATGTACAGACAGAACCATCTGAGCATTAGTTGGCCCCATTGGAAGCAGCTGTTACTAGAACAAGGGCCTGGGGAAACCCAGAGCCTGGATGAGCCTCCCCGCTGCGGCGACAGAGCGAGTGGGTTGGGCTGATGACTGAGTCCCAGTGACCATAGAAGGGGCTGGTGGTGGACGGCCTGGGAGGGGTTCCGGGCCCTGCTCTTCCCTGTTCCCTCCCAACACTCCCCCCCACCCCCAGCAAAGCCAGTGCTGCCTCCTGGGCAGCCGTGACAGTCTGTGCCATGCCTGTGTGTCTCCGTGGCCCTGCAGCTGACCCCTCAGGAGGCCCAGGAGCAGCAGGAGTTGAAGGCTTGTCTGCGCTGGCGGCGTCTGCAGGATGAGGTGCGCGATTCCTCCGAGGAGCTGCAGGTGCTCAGGTAAAGTGGCCGTCACTTCTCTCCTTCCCAGATCCCCTCTGTGCCCACCCTGTTTCCTTCCCATCCCTCATGCCCACCCCATCTCTTTCCTGCCCCCCCCGAGCCCACCCCATCTCCTTAACGTCCCCTTCATGCTCACTGCATTTCCTTTCCGTCCCTTCCGTGCTCACCCTGTTTCCCGCCCACCCCGCTCCGTGCTTACCCCATTTCCTTTCTAGCCACCTCCTTTTTTCCTCCTGTGCCCAGTGTCCATCTTCCCTGCCTCCTCTCCGCCCCCACCCCTGCCCCGTCCAGTCAGACCCAGCCAGCTGGCTTTTCGCAATGTGAATATGGAGGTTGTGGCCCCTCAGCGTCTGGGCCAGCATGGCCCCTCCAGTGCCACTCTGCTCCTTAGTGATCCACTCTCAGGTGGCCAGGGCTGGCTGTGCCGATGACCCGTGCAGACAGGTCCCTGCTCTCAGTCTCTGGGACGCAGTTGGGCACACACGTGAGAGGGTGGGAGGAACCCAGTGACTGCGGGACGCCTCCCAGAACTCGGAAGCAGGATGGTGGGACTGCCATTCCCCCGACACAGCAAGGAGGGGCCACTGCTACTGTTACAGTGCTGGGAGCCACCCCCAGGCCCAGCAGGAATGGGTCGGGTTCTGCTAGTGGTAGGTTTTCCTGCACTGGTGGGTCCTTGAGAATTGTGTGAAAGATTTGCATGCAAAACTTTTTTTTGGTTGAAAGTTAGAGGCTTGCTCTTCCAGCACTTTGTTCTCCTGGAACTCAGGTCTCTCTTGCTTTTCTGTTTCTTTGCTCATCTGTTTCCACTCCAGAGAAGCTTGTGTTCTCTCTCGAATATGTACTTCTCCCTCTCTCTCCCCTCACATCTTTCTCAAAAACTAAAGTTAGAGTTTATTGTAGAGTTTAAGCAAACTTGCAGAGTCCTAGGAAGCACCCCAATGATAGGAAGAAGACTTCAGAGGGAAACGTAGACCCCCATACTGAATGTGGGATACAGATACACATGCATTTATAAAGGTAAAGGCCCTCCCGTTGATCGTCGATTTGCTCGAGCGGGCCCAGTAACGTCTCCATTGGAGACTTTGTTGTTACTGTGTCTGGATGCATTTATAATGTATTCAAAAAGTATGTGTGGCCATGTCTACTTAGTGTTTGGGGGACAGCAGTAGGGTGACAAGGGAGGGAGGTTAGGAGGCTGTCCACTGATGGAACTATCCCAAGGACCTGTGGACATCAGTGCTGAGAAAACCTGACAAGAATCAAAGCCAGGAGTGTCCGCAGGTGAAGTTGGGGGAGGCAGCTCACGCCTGTGTACAGGTGAGGAGAGGAGGACAAGTTGGGTTTATTGCATGAAAGATATTGGCGACCTTGACATGCATGAGTTGCTTGTGACTGTGGGGAAGAAAGCGATATAGATGTGGGAGAAGCATGACGTGGAGAGGAAATGGTGATGTAAACTCTGAGCGAGGACAGAGCTGGAGGGTGGATGAGAGGACTGTGTATCCATGCTCATCTCATACTCAACAACGCTCAGCTTCTCCATATTCAAGTGCCATTTTTTTTTTAAAAAAAAGCCTAATAAAATTTTATTTAGTTATATACCTATCTCCAAAAGCTTGAAATAGAAAATGTTCATAGTCATTTCAGGTCATTCTCCTGACCCTGAAAGAGCCTCGAATGTGGCACTTTTTAAAATCTCAGGGCTAGGACGAAGGAGATGTTACTGGGGCCTGCTCCCGGCAATCGATGACCAACAGGATGACAGTCATTAATTGAAATGAATGCTACTTTATTTTAGAATATTCCATTTTTCATTAAAATAATTTCTAAACCATTCTATATGGTCTACCTTCTGCTTCATACTCAAATATGGGTTTTTAGATCGACCAGTGGTATTTATCTAGCTCCATGAAGTGGCAAATGGGTGCTTGTTTTGGAAAATCCTCTAGGTATTTATCCAGAAACATGTGTTCATGAAATTCTGAGCCATCATCATCACAACTTGCTTCATTGTTAACTGGGAATATCTCCAGTTTCCCTTCTTTTGTCCACAGGATCCGCTCTTCAAAACTATTTCAAAAATGCTGTTGGTTTACTGGAACTAACTGCTTAGCAAATCCCGCACTATCAAGATGAGGCCATCTCTGCTTCGGGTGCCTCTTCAGTACCTGCTTTCAGCTCAAATATATTAAGTCCCTTCCCTTTAGACTTACTTCTCTTAATACTTTTTCTAATATGAATAGCCTTCACACACAGATCACAGTCAAGTCCTTTGTCAGTCTGAATCCAATGCACGGGTCTTACACTAGTGCTTGCTGTGGTGGTTTGAGCAACTCTCATATTTAAAGACCTTGTTACTGAAACTGGTATTGCATCTTTCCACTTCTTTCTGGCCCTTGACTCCTTCTGGAGCAGCCCGAACTGGGTGGTTTGTTGTCAATGGAGAGAGAGTCTGTGATGGCTCAGCCAACTCAGGGCCTCACCACTCTGCTTTGGGGCGTCTTCTGCAACTTTCTGAAGTCTGTCAGTTGCACATGGAAAACTTATAAGAGGTTTTCTGCTTGGTGGCTTTATCATTTATACATTTACTGTGCTTAATTCAATTTTTCTATCCTTAATAATATTTAACAAGTCTTTTTTCTCTTTTTTTCCCTTTACACCATGTTGGCTCTTTGTCCCATTGGAAATCTGGGATGGAACAGACTACTCATCTTTCTTGCTAAAAATCACACTGGTGGTGCCAAAATATCTCTGGATATTATTGTTTGTTCTGACCATTTAGTACTGGGCAGCGAGTAGTACCATTACCCTAGCTGCTGCCTCATGGGCATAAAGGAAGGCGGGAAAAGGGACTAAAACTTATGATTGCAGAGATCCTCAAAAACATTATGGAGAAACCAATTGAATTTGAAAGATACATTAAGTACCTTTCTGTGTCCTACTGATGCCTCAGCTCTGCTGGTTTGGTTTGGTTTGGTTTGGTTTGGTTTGGTTTGGTTCGGTTTGGTTTGCGACCACAAGCTTCAGTGATCAGACACATCGCATCTGTGCTTGCCTCCCACGCAGCACCAGGCACTGGCCCTCGTGCCCTGCATGGGAAGTATGTGCCACAGCCTTTGGAACATCTTCCTGGCCTGGGCTGCCTCACTCTGCAGACCATGATCTTCTGGAGGTGCGGATTCAGGACTGACACTGCTGAGTGTATCACAGCCAGACCACATGCAGCGCCAGACCACGCACAGCACTAGACCACGCACAGTGCCAGCCCACACATAGGGCCAGACCACACACAGGGCCAGACCACACACAAGGCCAGACCACACACATGGTCTGACCACAACAGGATCTGACCATGCACAGGGTCTGACCACACACAGGATATGACCACAATAGGGTCTGACCACAGCAGTGTCTGAGCATATACGGGGTCTGATCACACACAGGATCTTACCATACATACATACATGAGGTCAGACCACACACAGGATCTGACCACAAGAAGGTCAGACCACGCACAGTGTCAGACCAAAACAGGGTCTGAGCATATATGGGGTCTGATCACACACAGAATCTCACCATACACGAGGTGTGACCACACACAGGGCCACGCACAGGACCTGACTGCACGTGGGGTCTGACCACAACAAGGTCTGACCATATATGGGGTCTGATCACACATGGGATCTCACCATACATGAGGTCAGACCACTCACGGGGTCTGACCACACGTAGTCTGACCTCGCACAGTATCTGATCACACAGAGGGTCAGATCATACATGTGGGCAGGTCTCACATGGGGTTTGACTGCACACAGGGCTAGATCATAGGCAGGTCCTGACCATTCGCAGGGTCTGACCATAGACAGGGTCTGACCGTACATGAGACCTTTGTCTTTGTGGAACACGCTTCTTGAACCAAATGTCTCTCCTTAGTTTGTGGGGCAATCAGAAAAGATGCACTTACCTTAGATCCCTACACCTGAAGGCCTTATAAGGCATTCACTTTTCTTTGTCTTAGAATTTAGAATTTCTGTTTGCCAGCATTTTGGCTGACCACGAAATGATAACATGTGAAAGAAATGTTTTATACTGATATGGAAGGAACTGTGACCACATTAACTGGGGGAAGTGTTCAGCCTGGATTTAGTTTACACCCATTTCAGGATTTTTCCTTTAGTGGGTAGAGAGAACTAAATGTAAAATGAAGAGACAGAATTACAACATTTTGTCTTTGGACTTGTTTTTATTTTCTTATTTATTTATCTAATAATTTTGGTGCTGGGGAATGAACCCAGGACTTCATGCCTATGCAAGATAGGAGCTGTGCAACTAAGACCTACCCAGGCTCCCCATTTCAGTCTGCGATCAAAAAGCAGATCGCTTGTGGCTTTTATATTAAAAACTAAACTGTTTAGTTCTTGTAGTCATCTTTAATCCAGCTCAAGTCAACTTCTGTGTCTGGCATAAGATTCACCTCTGGGGGTTGCTCCCATGGCCCCCGGGATGATCCCTAACACCAGTGGGCACAGCCAGCCAGGGTATGCTCAGCAGCAAAGGACTGTGGTCACTTATCCTTTTGCCAATGTCTGTTCAGTTTTTCTAACACCGTTTATTAAAGACTCTTTCCCCCATTATATTCTTGTGCTTCCTTTGTTGAAAATGTGCTTATGTGCTTATTTGTGTATGTTTATTCCTAGGCCCTCAGTTTTGTTCTGGTCCTCTATTTTTTTTTATGCCATTACCATACTGTTTTGATTATTTTTATTAACTTTGTAATAAGGTTTGAAGTGAAGGCACATGCTGTCTCCTGCTTTGTACTTTTCTCAAGATTGCTTTGGCTACTTGGTTGTTTTGTTGGTTTTGTGTGTGTGTGTGTGTGTGTGTGTGCGTGTGTGCGTGTGTGTGGTTCCACACAAAATATAGGGTTGTTCTATTCCTGTAAAAAATACCACTGGAATTTTTATGGTGATTCACCACGTCTATGAATTATCTTG